AAAAAAAAAAAAAAAAATTAGCTAGGCATGGTGGTGCACGCCTGTATTCCCAGCTATAGGCGAGGCTGAAGTGGGAGGATCACTGGAGCCCAGGAGTCTGAGGCCGTAGTGATAGAGCGAGACTTTGTCTCAAATTTTTTTTTTAAAAGGAGTTGCTCACAGGGGACTTCTGTTTTCTGAAGTGTTCAGTGTATTTTCACGAGTGGACACCATGGATAGAAACAGATGAATTTTATTTCAACAGGTGAATGCTTCCTACCGGCACTCCTGGACAATCTTTGGGCAACTCCTGAAGACAGGTCCAGGCAGCTGATGAATTCAACTTCAAGATCTGGAAACCCAGCTATGTGGTCATTGGAGAATGTGCCTTCATACACACGCCCGTTCTTGAAAGTTAATCGGCCCTGCAGACAGAAAAACAACTTTGTGCAGTTTAGAAAAAGTTTTCTTAGAAGAACACTGGTAAGGCCGGGTACGGTGGCTCACACCTGTAATCCCAGCACTTTGGGGGGCTGAGGCAGGCGGATCACAAGGTCAGGAGTTCGAGATCAGACTGGCCAACGTGGTGAAACCCCATCGCTACTAAAAATACAAAAATTAGCCAGGCGTGGTGGCGTGTACTATAGTCCCAGCTACTCGGGAGGCTGAGGTGGGAGAATCGCTTCAACCCAGGTGGCGGAGGTTCCAGTGAGCCGAGATCGCACCACTGCACTCCAGCCTGGGTGACAGAGTCTGCCTCAAAAAAGAAGGGGAGGGGAGGGGACGGGATGGGACGGGAGGGAAGGGAAGGGAAGGATGAGTAAATGTACATCGATAGTTTTTTCAAGGGTTTGGAGCTTTTCGCTTGTTTTGAAAATATGCACTTACTCCACATACAGTCAGGCTCCTGGATCTCATGCACTGTATTAGTTTTCTCTCTTCCTCCTTCTTCTATTCCTCCTCCTCCCCTCTCTCTATCTCCCCAACAGTCTTTCTCCAACTTTAAGCACCTCTAGGCCACAGAATGTGTCTTATTAAATTAGGCTAGTGACCAGTAGAACGCCCATCACACAATAGAGACTCCCTGATTTTTTTTTTTTTTTTTTTTTTGGGGAGACAGAGCCTCGCTGTCACCCAGGCTGGAGTGCAGTAGCACGATCTTGGCTCACTGTAACCTCCACCTCCTGGGTTCAAGTTATTCTCCTTCCTCAGTCTCCCAAGAGGCTGGGATTACATGTGCCTGCCACCACGCCTGGCTAATTTTTGTAATTTTAGTAGAGATGGGGTTTCACCATGTTGGCCAGGCTGGTCTTGAACTCCTGACTTCAAGTGATCTGTCCACCTCGGCCTCCCAAAGTGCTGGAATTACAGGCGTTGAGCCACCGTGCCCGGCCAAGACTCCCTGAGATTTGTCAAACCCGGGTCAATAGTCAGTTACTGATTCAGAAGTGGGCAAACGACCCTATTTGGCTCTGTGAAACAAAAGACCCTTTCAGAGAGCTTCTATCAAAAGTTCCTCCTTTTCTTTTACTTAGTATGGTATGCGGATGTGAAGGCTGGAACCACAGCAGCTGACCTGCAATCATGAGGGAGGAAAAACACAAGGGCGAAAGTGACATGGTGGGAGATACTATGGATAGATGGAAGAGAAATTCTGAGAGCAATGAGTTGCTGAAGCCTACAGTATTCTGTATTATACATGGCAGACAACACTAGACTGTCTGCTACTTGCAAACCAAACCACCATCATACATACATACACACACACACACACACACACACACACACACACACCCCAAAAACTAAATAACCACTAAATACACAGGAAATCAATGACCACTGAAAATATTTTGCCAGGCACAGTGGCTCATGCCTATAATCCCAGCACTTTGGGAGGCCGAGGCAGGAGGATTGTTTGAGGCCAGGAGTTTGAGACCAGCTTGGCCAACATGGTAAAACCCGCATCACTACTTAAAAAAAAAAAAAAAGAGAGCTGAGCGTGGTGGTGCACACCTGTAGTCCCAGCTACTCGAGTGGCTGAGGCACAAGAATTGCTTAAACCCGGGAAGTGGAGGTTGCAGTGAGCCGAGATCGCGCCACTGCACTCCAGCCTGGGTGACAGAGGGAACTCTGTCAAAAAAAAAAAGAAAAAAAGAAAAAAGAAAAAAAGATTCATGTAATCACCTTAGCAAAACAGTAAGTTATCCTATACAAAATAGATAATGCAATTTAATAGAGAATGACATGCCTTTTGTCAAAAAGAGTTCTGTAGACGGATGGTGATGGCTGCACAACAATGCAAATGTACTTCATGCCACTGGACTGTGCACTTAGAAATGATTAAGATGGTAAATCTTATGTGTACTTTACCATAATCAAAAAGAAATCTAGAGTGCCTATATTTACAACAGACAAAATAGACCTCAGAGAAATGAAAATTACCAGGGTTGGCCAGGTGTGGTGGCTCACACCTGTAATCCCAGCACTCTGGGAGGCTGAGGTGGGCAGATCACTTGAGGCCAGGAGTTCGAGACCAGCCTGGCCAACATGACGAAACCCTGTCTCTACTAAAAATACAAAAATTAGCCAGGCATGGTGGCCC